GGACCTGCCCCGCGGTCAGGGGCTGTGACCCGGGGGACCTGCCCCGCGGTCAGGGGCTGTGACCCGCGGACCTGCCCCGCGGTCAGGGGCTGTGAGTAGCGCAGCCGGCATTTGCCCCTCCGCTCCGGGAAGTTCCCGGTAGCACCTGGGTGCGCTGACCTGTCCAGGTCCATGGGCCCCTGCAGACCTGGCTGCCACGGAGAGTGGGGACCGCTGCTCGGAACCTCCCTCCTCGGCAATGTCCTGCCTCATCTGCACCCCATTCTCAAGGACCAGAAATGCCACCTCAGCCACCTGCTTCCTGTGCTGGCAGAAGAGACTCCTGAGGAGCCAAGACTGGGTGGGGTGGGCTGAGCAAAGAATGGCAGGTGGCCCTGGCCGGTGGGCTCAGTGGTTAGAGCGTCTGCCTGCGCACCCAAGGGTCATTCCCGGCTCCGTCCTGGCGTCTCTCTCACATAGATGTTTCTCTCTTCCTGCCCCCTCCCTCCATCCCTTCCACTCTAAGAATCAATGGCAAACATATCCTCCAGTGAGGTTAAACAAAAATAAATAAGTGACCCAAGCGGGGAGGCACACAGGCACACAGGACAAAATGGGTCTGGGTGAGGGTGGGAGGAAGGAAGGGGACCTGAGAGGCCACTGGCTCCAACTGACAGGCCCTGTGGGCCCAGAAAAGAAGGGAACAGTGTCCCCCCTGAGCTTATTCCCAGTGCCAGGGCTGGGTGGGGGACACAGGGCCCTGATGTGGTCCCAGAGGCTGGTTTCAGGGTGAGGGTGGTGAGGCATGGAAGGGGTACTTCAGCCCAAATGGTTCATTTGTTTCCTCCTCACTTAGGGGCAAGTGGGTGGGGGTGGGGGTCACTGAAGGGAGCAGGGCCAGAGGGCTGACCCAATGCTGGGAAGAGGGACAGAACGCACAAAAGGTGCCTCCACAGGTAAGAGCACAAGAGCCTGAGCCCCCCAGGGCCGGCCCCAAGGGTCGGAGCAGGGACCTGAGCACAGAGATTGCCAAGATCACAGCCAGGAAGCGACTGATTCAGAGGTCTGGTCAGCACCTCAGCCCTCGGACCTATGGGCCCCTTTACCATTGGGGTCCCTAAGTCACACTGCAGAAGGACAGAAGCCTTAGCGATGTCGGTGCTTCGGGGCAGAGCCCTTACCCAAGGCCAGGAGGCTCTGGGAGGGGCAAGCACCTGCATGTGCCCAGGGTGAGGGGCAAGCTCTGGAAGGTCACCTGCCTCCTCTGCTCCCTCAGGCAGGGGCTGGTTAGAGCCCTGTGAGGACTGGGGGCTGTACTTTCTGCTTCCCCAGGGCAGCACTGGGGGCCCAGCTGCCAGCAGCATGCCAGGACCCTGCAAAAGAGGCTGTCACCAAAGTAGGAGCCCCAGGCCAGGGCAGCCCCTCCGACTGAGCCTGCAGCCCCTCTCCCAGGAGGGCCTTGAGGGAGGTTGGCTCTGAGGGTGTGGTGGGTGGGGTCTGTGCACTCAGACCTCTGCAGGGGCCACAGAAGAATTCTGTGAAGGTAGGTGACAGCGCCCAGTACTTCTAAGGTGGGCAGGTAAGGCCAATGAGGCTTTTGATAATAAGTGACTCCCCATCAATATGTACTAGGTGGTACCCGGGGTCACTGGATTCATAATGACAGCAATAGCTCCTGTTTGCTAAGCGTTTACGCTTACTCTCCTCACTGTGGCCCTGCTGTGGGGCTCATCCACCGTCCAACTTGGCAGAGCAGGAAGCCACCTGGGGAGGTGAAGAGGTTCACTGGAGTGTGAGCTGCAGGGCGTGGGCCTAACATTTGAGCCCAGACAGGCTGACCCCTGAGCTGTGCTCTTACCTACTGTGCCTTAGCAGGGGCTGTGTATGTGTGTGTGTGTCCATGAGTGTGTGCATGTGCGTGGGTGTGTGTGAGTGTGAAAGTGCAAGTGACAGAGAAACCTAAAATAACTAGCTTCAGCACAGAAGTTTATCTCCCCCCCCCC